ACCACCCATCATGACTTACATGTTGTTGCCCCATCTACTAATCACTCTACCACTGATGGGGTTAAGTGTAAGAACAGTATGCTCCCTAATAGGGTTTTGGCCATTGAAGTTGTGCTGGTCATCAAATGAGCTGAAATGATATAAAACAATAAAATTTGATACAAAAACATGCAGGTGGTATATTAAACTAACGTTTTGTTTCATTTACTCTTTGCTCATTTTTGTTTGTTTGTTATTTTTATAATTAATTGAATACATTATTTTATTTTTCCATTTTGATTAAAAAACATACGAGGGATGATATTCCAGGTATATTATTTCCAAATTATCACACACATTTTTAGCACATGTTTTAGTTTTAATTAACTGAATATTAAGTTTTTTCAAACCTCCATACCCATAGTTTCGATTTTTGGTTTTCTGCCATTCCAAACAAAATGTTTAATTGAACTCTCTCAACTCATTGTTAAAGTACAATTTATTTACAAACGGTTATTACAGTACTGTCAGTTACTCCTCTTTTTGTCTTTCTTTGTTCCTTTTTTGTAGACCAAATGAATTGAATAATCAAATGAATGTCTTACTTACTTTACATCCCAGGTTCGTTTGCCACGATGAAAGAGAATAACATTTCCTATTGAATCTAATGCAACCCCAGACACTTGGCCAAGTGTTTCTTTTCCCAGCTTGGGCCAGTCTTTTACCAAATCATATTCTTCCTTCAAAGTTTTTGAATGTGAAAAACTATCGTTACTATCATTGTCATGGTTGTTGTTTACTACAGCTTCTGATGATGGTCTACTTTTGCTGATAGGTGTTTGTGGTTTTGAAGAAGTACTCTTAGAGTCTTTTGGGAAATTTAGTGTCAGTCCTTTCAAATCCATATCACTACACACGTCATTGTCTATATCATGTAGACTTGCATCTTGATAGTACATTATGTAGAAATTGCACATCTCATCTTTACCAGATGACCTGGGRAAAAAACATTTGTTAAAACAATGTTATAATTTATATTATTGTTCTTCATAGAGAAGCAACAAGAACAATGCTATCGATATTTAATGTAGAATTACCCAATGTTCACATGCTTTGTTAAATGATGGCCTTTAGCATCGTATGTGCATCTTGCTGCCTATTGGGTACAAAGTCAAACAGAGGAAGAATATATCTCAGTACAAAGTGCATCGTATATTAATGCAGTATTATTGAACCATATCATATTTGAATAGCCCTTCTTGTATCTAGCAGCTGATCATGTAATAATACATATGACCACACCCAGCATATCATATGCACTTAGTTAACACTCACCAGTTTATCCCCTTTAGTTATTTTGACGACTTTATTCATGGGATAAAATGCCTGTAGGATGAAAACAAACAGAAATTATCACAAAGGATCGCCTTATTGCGCACAATCAATGTATATTGTGCGCAATAAAATGTGCACAATACATGTAAATGTCTGTTCAGTGCAGGCCTTTGGCCCATGGCTGTCAATATTTACAGTACATTACAAACACACAAACAAACAAACAAACAAACAAACCCAAACAAGAAAAATATTCAAATAAGCCAAGAAAATGAAATCTAAATTCTTGAGGTGCATGTTATGTCATAGCTGCCATTTGATTGATGATAACAAAGCATTCCTCTTTAGCTTTAAATTATCTTGTTACAGTACATCAGCAATCATTTGTTGTTTCATTGTTATTCATATCTCAAGTGATGAAGAGTCATGTGTTTGCACCCCAAGAATACTCATTATCAATACTAAGTTGGCAGTCAAAGCTTAAGCGTGGTTTTCACTAGTGACATAAGCATTAGCATAAACACAGACATAAGCGTATCAATCCCACTCACTTCTCTGTTAACGTCCTCACTGCAACATAAGCACAAGCACAAGCATAAGCACAAGGATGAAAGCATTTTTCTTCCTCCTTATGCTTCTGCTTGTGCTTATGTTACCTTAAGTCATAGTAAGGATGTGTTCTTATGTTTATGCTAATGCTTATGTCATAGTGGAAAACCACGCTACAAGGATCAAAGCAATCTCCTTCTCTTTATGCTTCTGCTTGTGCTTATGTTGCCTTATGTCATAGTGAGGACATATTCTTATGCTTATGCTTATGCTTAAGTCATAGTGAAAAGGAAAAATCCTATATACATCAAACATGTACCTGCGGCTCCTGAGGGCTTTTCTTCCCAAGTAATGTCCAGTTCTGTCTATGAACCTTGTATCCACTTATCAATGAACCTACACATATAAAACATAAGAAGATGCTCAATATAATTCTTATCCCTTCAGTAAACAAACAAACGTCATACTTCCTGATCCAACGATTCCTGAACATTGTAACTTAAATGCTTCGCATGTAAATCTGTAGAATTATTTTCATGATGACCTTTAATTTGGTCGAAAAATATGGTCAATAAAAATATCATAGAAACTAAAATATTAAGCCTTTTAAAAATCATACTTCAAACATGTAAAGAGATATATCCTGATATATCCAACAACAAGAAGAAATAATACTCTTAATTTGCCAGTAGGGTGCAAACAATTAATCC